CTAGCTTGCCGTACTATCATTAGAAGAGGTTGGCACTGGAGTGTTGGCATGTAAAGTCAAAGTTCCTGTGAGTGGCCATGTAATGTGTCTGACCTGGTTGATTGGTTACCGGAGATTGTTGTTCATGACAGATGACATTACAGGGGTCTTAATTTTGAGTCACATTCTCTTCCTGGTGGTAGTTTCACAGGCTTATTATATGCCAAAAATACATACATAAAATGATTCAAAATGCTGTAGTTTGATGAAATTTCAATATATACATCTTAAAGTCTCAACACTAACAGTGTCCAGCTCAACCAATGATTAGTCATTCATCTTAATGCATGAGTTGAAATAGTATACCATGGACATCAGATATAAAAAATAGACTGTTATTTGGTTACTTATGAGAGGGTTACCTACTCAACTCTAACCAAGCAGCCTCTCCCTTTTTAATGAGTTATAGCTTAGCTAGAAGGAGTTGTAGTGATGATGAGATTTATGCAAATGAGTTAATGGTTGATCATCTGTGATTAACGAGTGATAGCGTAGCCAGGAGTAATCAGATAATTTATACAAATGAACACAACTTTCTTTGCAGGCTGAGACTCCACCAGAACTTGTGCACAGTGAAACCTAATTTCCTAGTTGGTCCAACTCCCTATGATACTTAAGACTCAATTTGCATCGATTAACACAAAATAGCCATGTTTTGTTGTTCCCAAGTTTGCTGGAAAATTACAACAGAAGATCATTTCACCCATGTGGATGTGTACCAGAAACAATTTAATCACAAGTCTTGAAATTCAAGAGATGAAGATAATTAGATCACTTACATGTAGCAACAAAACAAAACAAAAGTCACAAGTTCAGTTTGTTGGTGTGACATTGTCAAGCAGTCAAAGAGCTTTCTCCACAGTGTTTTATCTGTGAACTTTTCCAAACAGCTATCAGAGCGATGAACTGATCTTTCACATTTGTGGTCAAACAAGTGCAATTTGGTATACAACAAAGGTGGGCATATAACTTGATCCATCGATAGCTTTGACAGCTTTTAACCCAGGCATAGCCCAAAATCAGGTGTGGGGGTTTTGCACTTAGAAGTGTTTTCTTCCCATATTCATACATAATTACATAACTTTTCTGGCTTGAACATTTTTATTTTCCAATGTCAAAAATATAATCACAAACCAGGGCAAACATATTTAAAGGAAAGAATGGAGCTCATTATTTCTTAATTTGGCCAATTTACAGAACTCAATCTCAGCTAACAGGAGAAACATGTGCTTGCTTTTTTCCAGTCCCCCACACTCAAATTAATCCAGAAGTTGCCAAGCAACTGAACACATCATGATTATGGCCTTACCACCTTAGGATAACTCATGAGTGATTAGCTGCTTGGATTAAAAATCACAAATTTTATGTAAGCTTCAACTAAGATTTTCCCAAAAATTACAGAACTTGTTCTCCATAATGAAGTCATCTTTGAAACTTTAGAGAGGCTTACAGTACTCATACTTATATCTGCACTCACAGTGAAAATGAAGTTTGAGCCTGTATTTGTCACAGTTGCCGTAGCTTAAGTCATCGATCCTCTCAGAGACTTCACAAATAATGTCCGCATCAATGCATTGAAAACGAATACCAGAAGAAAGGAAGACATTCTTGCAAAAATGACAATCTGAAATGTCAAAAATGCAATTTTAGTAGCTGAAACATAACATTTTAATCAACAGGCCAGCACTGCTGTACCAAGTCCCTCCAGTGTGTCCCATGTTTGGAGAAAAATGTCCTCATTTTGCATGGGGATGAGATCCCGGGAGGGGATGAATGTTGGGTGATGGACAAAACACTGACCCCCAGTCCATGGACTACCATAATGGACTAACCAAATGGACTACCCTTAAAAATAATATTCCAAATGAGTAGCATTTAAAGTTGTGGGCTGCTATACCACTGAACACAGAATAGACAAGTGGATCCCTATTGTTCAGTAAATTACCATGACTTGGTTAGGGGTATTGTGTACAATGTTCCAGGTTCAGGATACTCTGACTTTAGAGTAATTTTTTGCTGGCTGAGTAAAATGAAATAAGCGAAAAATGGCAGTCAGCTTGATATGGCTACCAGCTGTGGTTTGTGAGAAAACTTGTTATTCTGGTGACTATGACAAAATTACATGTCCATTTTAATTGCTCTGCAATATGCAAAGCTAGATCCAGTGCTAGTAATGCAAGCCCCACTCTACTTTACTGTTGAAAATTATTGTAAGAGTCAAAATTTCCCCCTCCCCTTTTGAATGCCCCTTAGACCTGCCACTAGAAATGACTGGAAATTGCAAAGCGGTCAGAAATTACAGTGTGTAACTGGACATGGTGGCTGTGTGAGTAGGAATGAGAAGGATTCAAGGATTTTCCCTTAAGCAGTTTATTAAAAGCCCAAATTCATCAGCAAACTAACACAGCAAAGTAAAATAAATGGGAGCGACTAATAGACTATACCTTGCTAGAAGCAAGTCTGACCTTTATCTTCTCCTGCAGTGCTGTTCTGTCGATCTCTTTGGTTCCCAAAACTCAACTGAAGTACAAGCTAAAACTCTCTCTTTTTTATACCAAAGTGACGAGTAGGGGAACACAATATAGCACGTACCAAGATGTTGAAAATTGATTTTGCCAAGCCAACCTAACCACTTCTTCCGTAGTTAAACATGCGGGAAAGGATTTCCTTTGCATAATTTCATTATCTTAAGGCGATAAGCTAACTTTTAGCGATTAAAACGGTTTGCCGAAAGGTAACCGCAAAAACCCTGGTTGCACTAATGCATTTTAACAACTATTTGTGGTTTGAGCACACCCAAAGAAACATACCAAAACTATGCATAGGTTTACCTAGTAAACTAAAACCGGAAAATTCCTGAACACAAAATTATGAAGCAAAGCAATGAAATCTTTGAATATTTAGAAATATTAAAATAGTGAAATTACACGTCTAGTAACCCTGTCAGAAGTGTTTTGTATGGGAATCCGAAGGCAAATAACTTTTTCCAAAATTGAATTTTACACAATTTGTGAATCAAAAAGTTAAAATACTATGTTAAGAAGATTGCATTTACCAAATTTGGAGGATGTAGCTTGGCTAGAACTGATGCTCAATTAATTTTCCATACATTTGTGTGTAAAATTTGGCTGGGTAGGTGGACATCTAGATGCGGTTTGCAGGAAAAAAATTACAGACAAATGTATGGAAAATTGGAAAAATTAACTGATCATCTTTTGGTCAAGCTACATCCTCCAAACTTGGTGAATACAATCTTCCACCTAGAAGTTTTCACGTTTTGATTCACAAAATGTGTAAAATTCAATTTTGGAAAATGTTATTTGTCATCGGATTCCCATATAAATGCTTTAATTTCTGACCGCTTTGACTACCCATGAAGATGGCGTTGAAAACCGTGATAAGGTCTATTTTCAGGGGTAGTCCATTAAGCCTGGTTCTCATATCCCGCTGACCTACCTGCAATGTAGTTGCTGGTTGCAACCGACAATGCTCGGCGCCGATCTGTCCCAGTGGGTTCCTGACACATCTGCGATGGATCGCCAACGTACTCAAATTTGTGCGAAATACAAATCGAATTGCGCAATTTTCAACCATTTTACCTGTAAATATGGATCAAATTGTCTTACTGGAGTATGTTGCCTCCGCAGATGATGTTCACATAAAATTTTTTCATTGCCAACAACCACCGGCTTGCCAGCAAAGTTGAACTCAACTCAACTGCACGGGCAAGCTGGCAGTCAATGCCTGGGACAGATTATGATTCAGCGGTAAATGTTCAAATATGCCGTAGCAGTGTCCCAGGCCATGCCGGCAGCTATGTCCCCCATATGTCAGTGGCATATGAGAACCAGGCTTCAGGGTAGTCCATGGACTGTGAGTCAGTGTTTTGTCCATAGCTCGCCAATAGACTGCGTGGGATTCCGTTTGTTCTTGTACTCGCTGTTGGACTGTTTCACTTTAAAAGGCTTTTTTGAGTGATCAAACCCTCTGCGTATGTATCCTCTTCTATCACAACTATTTTGCTGAGGTATGAACTTGCACAAGACATGGAGAACAGGGAAATAAAAGAACTAACCGTGCGACAAAGCGACGTAAGCGTGGAGCCACCAAAAACACTTTGAAGTAAAAAATTGCACCAAAACTTCCTTTGTAGCTCCGGAGACATGGCTAACTTTGCGCAAGTGGACGCTAGAGCTGCACAAAGTCTAGCAGAAACAGCATGAACAAATGGTGGTAAAAAAAGCACCAGACACGATATCTCCCAGGCATTCTACGCGCAGCCGAGTGGGATTGGGCACAGAAGGAAACAAACGGAAAGATTATTTGGCACGTGGGTCATATGGGGTACTTTTGCCATCCAGCTTCTTTAAATTCCTTTTTACCTTGTTCAGGTCAGACAAAGTTAAGTCCCCATCCATTCTACCCGTATTGGAAATGTGTACTTACAGAAAATATCCATATCTCCACCACAGTCCTATGCCACAGAAGAGATAAGCACTTCCTTCCCCCATGCCCACCCCTCTGGAAATTCCAATCAAGCTTCGTACATTTCTTTTATTTTTTTGGTCTTACAGACCCCTTCCCCCAGGAAATTCCAGTCCCTTGTGTTGGAGGAGTATGTGGATATTTTCTGGAACTGCGCAATTTTTCATTTTAAGGTGGCTCCATACGGTTATCATTTAATATATAGATTTAGGCCAGCCTAAAAGCGTAGNCTGTTACAATGAATCAAAACCAATCCTGTGAGAATCAGAGATGTGCCTAACCACCATCTCGCAGACAATGCCTCGCCAAACAGCAAGCAACTCAACAGGGCCTGCAAGAAATAACCCTCGTTCAGTACGGAGCCTTTAAAGTACTTGACTGTCTAAGTTGCATCTTAAGCTTTAGAATCGCTAGCTTGCCGTACTATCATTAGAAGAGGTTGGCACTGGAGTGTTGGCATGTAAAGTCTAAGTTCCTGTGACTGGCCACGCAATGTGTCTGACCTGGTTGATTGGTTACTGGAGATTGTTGTTCATGACAGATGAGATTACAGGGGTCTTAATTTTGAGTCACATTCTCTTCCTGGTGGTAGTTTCACAGGCTTATTATATGCCAAAAATACATAAAATGATTCAAAATGCTGTAGTTTGACGAAATTTCAGTGCACACATCTTAAAGTCTCAGTACTATAAGTGATATAAGTTATACAAATGAACATGGCTGTCTTTTCAGGCTGAGACTCAATAAGTACTCCTGCACTGTGAAACTGAATGTCCTAGTTAATCCAACTCCCTACGGCACTGAAGACTAAATTTGCAGTAATTTTATTCAATTTGAATAATACAAAACAGCCTTGTTTTGTTGCTCCCGAATTCGCTGAAAAATTACAACAGCAGATCATTTCATCATGTGCGTGTTTACTGGAAGCAATTTTAATCACATGTTTTAAAATTCAAGAGATCATTATAATTAGATCACTTAGCAACAAAACAAAACAAAAGTCACAAGTTCAGTTTGTTGGTGTGACATTGTCAAGCAGTCACAGAGCTTTCTCCACAGTGTTTCATCCGAATGGCTGTCAGATGAACTGATCTTTTGCATTTGTAGTCAAACAAGTGCAATTTGGTATACAACAAAGGTGGACGTATAACTTGATCCATCGATAGCTAACCGAGGCATTGCCCGAAATCAGGTGCGAGGGTTTTGCCCTTGGAAGTGTTTTCTTCCCATTGTCATATTTTATAAAATTTACATATCTTTTATGGCTTGAACATTTTTATTTTCCAATGCCAATACAATTGCAAACCAAGGCAAACATTTTTAAAGGAAAGAATGATGCTCATTTTTTAATTTGGTCAATTTACAGAATCCAATTTTAGCTAATAGGAGGAACATATGCTTGCTATTTTCCAGTCTCCCACACTCAAATTCATCCAGAAAAAGCAAAGAAACGAAACACATTATGATTACGGCCTTACCACTTTAGGAGAACTCAAGAGTGATTAGTTGATTGGATGAAAAAAATCACACATTTTATGTGAGCTTTAACTAAGATTTTTCCAAAAAATTATGGAACTTGTTCTCCATAATGAAGTCATCTTTGAAACTTTAGGAAGGCTTACAGTACTTATACTTAATTTTGTACTTACAGTGAAAATGAAGTTCGAGCCTGTATTTGTCACAGTTGCTGTAGCTGAAGTCGACGATCCTCTCAGAGACTTCACAAATAATGTCCACATCAATGCATTGAAAAAGAATACCAGAAGAAAGGAAGACATTCTTGCAAAAATAACAATCTGAAATGTCAGAAAATACAATTTTAGTAGCTGAAACATAACATTTTAATCAACAAGCCAGCAATGCCGTGCCAAGTCCCACCGGTGGGCCCCACGTTTGGTGGCAGATGTCTTTGTTTTGCATGAGGATGAGCCCCAATCACAGGGAGGGACGAATCTTTAATCTTTAATCTTTAATAAGTATACTCCTGAAACAGTGGAACTATACTAGGAGTTGAAAATAACATAATAAAAGCACGTAATAAATAATGTTGGGTGATGGACAAAACACTGACCCCAAGTCCATGGACTACCATAATGGACTACCCTTAAATGGACTACCCTTAAAAATATTCCAAATGAGCACCATTTAGAGCTGTAAGCTGCTATACTTATTCTTGTTCTGGAACCACTGAACACAAAATAGACAAGTGGAACCCTATTGTTCAGTATTACCATGACTTAGGGGTATTGTTTACAATGTTCAAGGCTCAGGATAGTCTGCCTTAAAGGTTTTTTTCACTGGCTGAGTGAAACAAAATAAGTGAAAAATGGTTGTCAGCTTGATATGGCAACCAGCTGTGGTGTGTGAGAAAGCATGTTATTCTGGCACCTATAAATGAAATCATGTCTATTCTAAATATTGCTCTGCAATATACAAAGCTAGATCCAGTGCAAGGGCCAAAATTCCCCCTCCCCTTTTGAATGCCCCTTGGAAATTACTGGAAATTGCTTTTCCACTTAAGTTATTTAGTACCAGTGACCAGTGTTTTTCTCAAATGTGTTGTAAACATTTAGATTCAGGCTGTTTGCTCGCAACATTATTTTGGAACATTTTCAAGATGTTAATTTTGGTTACAGTATTTAAAGTAGGATCCTGATACTCATAACTACAGCTGAGCTGTTTGAGTGTATGCTTTTAAGACCATTTATGGACGTGCAAGCTAATTGTTTCTGCACATCCTTACTGCGTACACAAATTCACACGCCACGTCATGCACAATTGCAAGAGCGCATGCTAAGTAATAAAATGAACAATAATAGGACAGATGGCCATTGCTATAGCTTAGCCTGGATTCAACGATCTTGGACGTTCCGTGACCCCTATTTTTCTTTTGATGGATCATTTTCTTTACCGATTTTCTGAGTTTAGTGAAAAAATGAAGAAAATCTGTCGACTAGAAGTTTGAATTTTTTGCAAAAATTATGCACCATTAAATTCCGTTTTTTTTAGCTCTTTGTTTATCTGTGTGGCGGTTTCAAATGGCTCTTGAAGGGTTAAGTTTTGTGAAAACATTGGTAAAATTTGGAATTATTTACACAACAGACCCACTTCTACAAAATATGACTAAGATGGTTTGCTTCCGTTGACTCAGCTTCGATATCTTTACTTATCAACCCCTGTAGACCATGCTGAATTACGTGTGCCAATGTTTAAAAGTGAAAGTTGTTTTCCACACACTTTATCTCTGAAACGCAGTCGGTGACCTCCAATTTTTTTTGCATTTCTGACACAGGTAAATCATTATGTGACTGCAGTAAAAATCTAAAAAAAATCTATCGACTGGAAAATTTTCGCGCGAACGTCCTGTGTTCAGCATTTGTTTATTAAGTGCAATTATGGGATGTAAACATATGCGGAAGTTATGGGTATACCAGCAGCTTACAACATTAAATAGCACTCATTCGGAACACTATTTTCAGGGGTAGCCCATTTGGGTAGTCCATTAGGGCAGTCCATGGACTAGAGGTCAGTGTCCATCACTCGCCAAAACAGATTGCGTGGGATCCCGTTTGTTCTTGTACTCGCTGTCGCACTTTTTCACTTTAAAAGACTTCAAACCCTCTGTGTATGGATCCCCTTCTACCACAACTATTTTGCTGAGGTATGAACTTGCACAAGACATGTAAAACAGGGAAATAAACGTCTAAGCTTAACTTTATTTTATTTCAGAACTAACCGTGTGACAAAGCGGCGTAAGCGTGGAGCCGCCAAAAACACCTTGAAGTAAAAAGTCGCACCAAATCTTCCTTTGTAGATCCGGAGACATGGCTAATTTTGCGCAAGTAGACGCTAGAGCTGCACAAAATCCAGCAGAAACAGCATGAACAAATCCGAACATCTCGAGATGTTTTTTTCTTGGAGTTAAGGGCACCAGACACAATATCTCCCAGGCATTTACGCGCAGCCGAGTGGGATTGGGTACAGAGGCAAACAGAAAGAGAGAGTCGGGAATATAATGAAAGGGAAGAAAACATAGGAAATTGAACGGGAAGGTTATTTGTCCTATGGGCTACTTTTACCATCACCAGCTTCTTTCAATTCATTTTTACCTTATTCAGGTCAAACACAGTAAAGTCCCCATACATTTTGCCCATAATGGGAATGTATACTTACAGTCCTATGCCACAGAAGAGATTTTTGCTAAGCACCCCCCCTCCCACCTCTGGAAATTCCAATCAAGCTTCATGCATTTCTTTAAATTTTTTGGTCTTACAGACCCCTCCCACCACAGGAAACTCCAATCCCTTCTGTTGGAAGAGTATATGGATACTTTCTGGAACTGCACAATTTTTCATTTTAATCTACAAAACTATTCTGTAAATTCCTCAGCACTGTTCTTGTTTTGAAATGCAGTTAAAAGGATTCACTGTCTTCTAAAGAGGTCTTGATTTGCAGCACAGTGCATTTTGATCAAAGGCACGTTTGAGTAGATACTGGCTACTCATAATTTTCAAGACCCCGTAATAATGTAGTATTATTATAAACAGCCAGCTGTACATAGATTTCAGTAGTATCCATAGATAGTGTTATACTAATTTAGTTTATTATGAAATTGCAAGAATGTGGTACAATAATAATAATAATTAGTTTTCATAACAGATGGAATTTTTACACTTTGTGACCCAAGTGCTTCAGTTTCTGCAATGTAACCAGAAATTCACCGGTGCACAGAACCAGCAAAGCACTTGCACTCCACCGCAAACAAATGCATGAAAAGTCCTGCCAGATAAACACACTTAACAAACAATGATATATAAAAGACAAGTGCATTGTCATAGAAAGTAGTAGATATATATATCCCTAAACACTGTTATTCTTACAAGAGCTCAAGCATGTGAGTGAAGCATCTTAAAGGTCTACATTTTTCAGGAAATTTTTTGTCTCTGTAACCAGAGACCAAAATGACATTAATATTGTTCATCTTTCTACCTACAGTAACAAGATGTCTAAATCTTGATGTGACCTACATATTGCCCCATGTAAAGGAATCCAAGAGTCTTGGATTCTGGACTCCACAGCACTGGATTCCAGAATCCAACAACTGGATTGGCTGGATTCCATATTCTGTCTCTATGGATTCCTGATTTCAAGCATTTTAAGGTTCCGGATTTCAAATCCTTTACATTGGATACAAATTATTTCTGTTCAGAATTTCATTCAATTCCAGTTTTCAGAACTTGCCAAAAATACATAACAAATTATAAAAGTTTCAGGTCAACTTGAAAAAAATGGGAATAATAATAGTACAGTTTTCACTCATGCAAAGCTGGATTGAAATACTTTTCAGAGTCCAGGAAGGAATGATCTCGATATCAGTTAAATTCTTGACTCACTGGGGTTGAGATTGTACTGTCTAGTACTTTCATAATAAATTCACTAAATTTTTCCAGACACTTTTTTGTACCATCTGTGCTCTAAAGAGTATTATTAGAAACTGAATCATTGTATAATGCAATTCAAGAGTTTTATTGGCTTAGCCATCATGGTGCATGAGCAATTAAACCATGCTCTACAAATATGGTAAGTGTATGAATATTTTTTTGGGTGTCTTATTTTTAGTTTAGTTTAGTTTTGTATATTTTTTGGCATTTTTTAATTAAGGAGTTATTCCACTCACATTTGTTAGATATGGGATGATTATCANAGTCCTTTAAACATTAGGTAAAACCATGAGACCTTTAAATAAAATCTGATGATATAATATCACACAAATCTATTACTAAACACCAAAACAACTCATAACGACATACTTTGATTGCTTGGGAGCAGAGTTTCTAGAACTCTGAAAAACCAAATAAACAAATAACATGTTTTTATGGGTTACTTTTCAAAGTTATAGAACATTGACTATATTTCTGTAGAGTTTGAAAGTTTAAAACTCTGTGTTTCCATGACTGTTTTAAATTCTTCCAGGTATTTTACCATTCCATTTCTATAGAATGAATGTTTTAATTTTTTTACAATGATTAAAAACTGTTGCCACCTGACAATGACTGAACTGAGTGGGTTTGGAAAAAAAGAAAGGGGAAAAAAAACAACAAAACAGAAAAACAGGAAAGCCCATGTAAACAAATCACTACAAGAAAACATAAGGGAGCTTAAGCAAAGCATGACGAAGATGCCAACAAGAACATCCTGAAACAAAAGGTTCAATGAGCAGAACAATGGTTCTGCACATGCCTTTTCAATCTCGACACATTTCTCACCCATCATCTACAAAACAACAACATAAATAATAATGACCAAGTTCTACGTATTTTAGAGAACCTGAACTGCAATGGTTAATTTCTTCTTTTCTTCCTTTGGAATTGAACATTGTCATTGCATATTTAACCTAAGCAAGTTTTTAGACTGATAGGCGTACTGAACGGATCAACTCAGTTGCAACATTCAAAGGTAAAATATGAATCCAGTTTTTACAAGCCATCATCATTGGTGCTGGTCTTGTCATTGCTAAAGCTCCCTATTGATTCTAAATTGAAGGAAATATGATTATTATTCCCATGTCCTTATAAACCGACACAACACACCAAAACGGAGCCACAAAAATCTAAAAAGTTTGTGGATATAGTTGACCCCGTACAATGTCACAAGTCCTGCAAGTGCATGCTGCAGTGACAACTATGTTTTCCCTCACCTTTTAGATCTTAGTTGGTCAAATAAGCCTTTTACAACAGGTCTGACAGATTGTACAAGAAATCAAACTACCCACCGGGATATAAAAACAAAGAATTAAACATCGACCAGTTCAAGTTGTGTTGTTTTCCAGGCTGTCACATTCTTTAGACATTAAGCATGGTGGATTTTGTACCATGTGATCATTGAAAGATGACTACTGAAACAAAAAGTTTGTCAAGTGGCAGCAATAGGATGCACATCACCACTGAGTAATAATATGTTATCTACCTTTGTCCTATTCAATGTGAGCGAAAAATTCAATATTTCACAACTGCCCACCTACTCATAATAAAACCATTGTCATTACAAATAAAGAACCACACATTACACACTTAACCTAAGATAAACAAGTTTCAAAGTGATTTGTAAATGTCAATGCAATAGAAAATAAATTAGTTATTTAGCTCTGACCAAATCACATTTTCTTTACTTCTTTATTTTTATTCAGCACTGGCCAAAAACATGACCCTGCACAGAAATACAAGAGCAAGCTGTTACAGGGACTGTGACAAATAAAATTTTATTCCTAGCTTTTTCACAAAGTTACCTAGTAGTAATTTGTCGAACTTACTATAATATTATTTTAACTCTTTTCACTATCTGTAAGAGAATGCACTCCGCCTTGGTCTTGGTAATTCCCCAAAGAGTTTCTCTCTGTTGTCATGTACACTGCGAGCTAATGCTCTCATGGATTCGCCAATCTTGCTTGGTTCAGGTATCGCAAACTAAAAGGAAAAAAATATAAATTATATAAATTATCATGGTTGGTACCATTAACCACCCAAACAAGTGACTATGTAGATGAAGAAAGAATCTATAATTCTTAATAAAATAACTCTTATTCCCCTCACATAGTGTTGTGATGGAAGAAAAAAGCAAACTTAGCAGCCATTCAAACGCTATGAATAGCAATCATCTAGATAGGGACAGAACAGACAACTGCTTTAAAGAACTCCATCAAAACCATACACAGAGCTGTCATCAAGGGCTGCAACCTGTAACACCTGTTATGGCCGAGTATGTTTGAGAGGTCCTTGATGTTACGGGTAAAATTGCCTTTTCTTGATACTAATTACCCACAAAGTAACAAGTTTGCTACAGGTGTGAAGATCAAGGCTACAAGTGACACAAAACTTAACGATAGCCCTGAAACAGCAGATAGTATATAAGATATGGGTTACACTACTAGAATAATGATGAACTAGGTATTTACACAAAGTACCTCATGATCGTCGTCTGGAGGTGAGCTTTTCCCTGTTGGCATACTAATGGGAACCGATGTGGAGTACTGCATGGATTTTTTAATATTCTTTACCCTGGGATTGTAGGCTGGCTCTTCACTCTGATAACTGTTATCTGGATAAGACAAAAAAAAAAAAAACAGACTGCTCAGCTGACGTTATTTCAGTGCTGCTTAGTTTATGAATTCATACAACTTGATCAAGTCACATCAAATCACTGTACTCACCACTACTACTGAAATCATCTTCTTCAGACTCAAAGAAAGGTTCTGTGTCATCCATGAAATCGTCCAATGAAAAGACAGGATCTGCATCAGATTCTAATGAGCAGTCCTTTTGCTGTGGTTTGTGTGGCAACCTCCTTGTCTTCCGAGATGGGTTAACACCAAGATGCAAGGGATATTTTTGTGAAGCCACTTGAGTTATGTGAACTTGGTTAACGGGATGGTGATCATTCAGTTTATGGACTGTGTTTTCTGAAGAGACAGAGAGAAAAGTTGTAGGTTATAAAAATGAGGTCATTACAGAGCAGGGCAGATGTTTCAATTTACAGACAGAAATCAAATTAACATGAGATATAGTTATTATTCATACCAGGTTTGGGTGGCACCGGAGTATCTAATGAACTGTCTACTATTGCCTCATTGAGAGACTCTTCCAATGATTTTTCCTCTTCTCTTTTGATAGTACTATTACAATAAAAGTAACGAATCATAATTAGGTTATGGACTTTTGACTATACTGTGAAAAAAGACTTTTTTAGTGTAATTAATTTTCTTGTACGATCTTCAAAACATAACATGTTTATCACATGACACACATCTGAATGACATTACATCAGAGCTACTTTCTTCTTGAATCACAAGGAAAACTTTTAAGAGTCACATGAAATGAATGCCAAGAACATGTCACATACCAATAAACAGCCTGTTTATCCTTGAACACCTGTGACTGAAGGGAAGCAAATGCTGCCTTCTGTTCATCAATGAATTTCCTGTCATGACATCAAAGAAATTTGCCAGATGTTAGGAATTCAAAATCCTCAATTTCATGCATTCTTTGAACATCCCTATAAGTGCAGTGTGACTCTAGGCTTTAATTTGCCTTAGGAGCGCATGATAAAGCTAAACAGGCTAAACCTCCATTATAAGTTGTACAAAACCCAGCCCTGTCAAAATGTGCCAGCAGCTGCAAATTAGCTGACAACAATAAACTTCATGAATTTTGCTGCTTACTTCACACCAAAGATCACTAATCCTGACTATTACCAAATCCATAGACCTTTAGCCTTTTTCTCTGCCAACTATTAACACTTCTGCCACCCAGCTTGATACTACAAAACATCTTAACAGGCTGAACACATGGGAGACCAGAACAGGTTTGAATTTGAGCTGATCTTGGTGTCAAAAGTAATTATTCACAGTTGAATCCGGCTATTTTGAACTCTCAGGGGAAACAAAAAATAATTCAAAATAGTGGGGGTTTAAAATAGCTGATAGTAAATGACTGAAGGGCAAATTCAAGGGAAATGGTTCTGAGTTACAAGCAGAAATAACGAGGAATTTAAAATAGCCAAGCTCCAATTAGTGGGGTCCACCTGTAGTTGGCAGCTATCTGTGTACTTTTCATTTACAGTCATGTCTGTGTGTAGAAAAAGATTATCAGGCTGCTTAAGCCTTCTGGTAAATGTGTAATTTCATTTTGTGCAAGCTATGGTGTAAGGGTTAAGCACCTTTTTCACTTCTTCTAGGGCACATGTAGCTTGGCAAAATATAGTTATCACCTCTTCATGACTAAATGAGAAATTTTTCAAAGCAAAACTTTCTTTCAGAGGCATCTGCTTGCTTTCAACTGTTTCATAGACTATGGAATGGAATAGGCTAACATTTGAGCTTGCAAAATTAATAGGCCATGTTATGATCTATCCCTCGAATCTGCACAAGCTTAAAGTGACTTTGACTGGGTTACAATAAACAAGAAATACTGCTGTTACCGTATTCTTTCATTCATGGCGTTTTCTTCAGCCTCAAGGTATTTTTTGACACGTTCCTGTACACTGACCATGGCAAGAGAAATCGTATCCTGGCCAAGCAAAACAGCATTCCCTGCAACTGATCACAAGATTCACTCATTTATAATGACATAGAGCAGAATCAACTTAAACTGATATGTCCCTTTTACGAGTAAATGTTTGAAAACTAAACATAGTCCCAGGTGGGGAAAAAGAAAACTTGCCTGATATTTTTATATTCAATAAATTAAAGTTACATTTGCATTAAAAAGCCATTGTATTTCAATCTTGTGACTAAGAGAAAAATTCAATATATTCACATTTTTATCACATGGCAAGATGGACACTTTAAGAGCTTTCATCTTGTTCAAGAGACTGGTAAAATTTTTTTGCCTGTGAAAAAAAAGAAGAACCACTGGGAACATACAAATTTACCAACCAACAATTCATTTTTGCATTTCCTAAAAGTATTTGCAGTTTTTAGTGGTCTTTCTTTAATTTAATTATTCAATATGATACATGCACCAAAGCTATTTGAAATGGACAATCCTGCAAGTGATTTTGCAACTGGAAGTTACAACATAACCTGATTCCAGAGTCTGAATTCCTGACATGCTTATGAGTCAAAGTCCTTATTATTATAACCACTGGGTTCAACAGGTAAATTAACAAAAATGTAACCTAACATGAAATGGGAGTCAGGTGTCCTCTTACCACTGAACTTTGCACTTAACACTTTCCACTAAATACTAAGACCCAAAGTCTGAGAAAATACATTCCTCTCCTTACAAACATCTACTCCTTTGCAAGCAGCAAATCTGAGATAAAAGCCAAAACTACATATTCTGTACTAAGTTTTTACTATCACCTCTAGAAAGATCTGCAGAGTGTCTATTACATTTTGCTCATTACTGAGGTTAATCAATTAGAGACACTACGGAAAAGGTCTGACTTGAATCTCTAATGACTCAGTCAAATGAGGATTGACTGAGTCTGGGGGCAAGAGCAGTCTGTTCCCGAGGTCACCACACCCTTTGCTTTACAGCATGACTGAAAAAATCTCGACAATGTAATAGAATGATTTGCGCTTTTCTCGAAAAGAACCTCTTTTAAAAACAATTTCCAAGAATCCAAGACTGTGGTGATTTTGGCAAGAAATAAACCACAAGTACAAACATATATCATTATTTAGCCGACAGGGACTATATCTGTTACCTTACTGAACTTACATGAGTTATCAACAATTTGTTGATCACTTTCCTTCACTGGTGTGACAACAAGTTTGAAGACGGAGGAATACTCTGAGGAACTGGATATCTTGCCATGAACAACAGGGTCACTCTGAAACAATGAGAAAAGGTTTCCATTAACTTAACATTTTTACTTCTCTCGATAGTGACTGAATTAAAGTTTAACCCATAACAAACTAAATCAGAAAGAAAGATAAAACCAAAATAGGCTTCTACAGTGAATTACCGCAATCTAAGGACATGCAATGGGACTCAGAAGATAAGTGCGTGTAATACATGAATGCATTTTACTGGTATTTACTTTGGATTGCCGTAAGAATTTGTATAATGGTCGGGGACTTTGTTATAAAGAACTTTCTTGCATGTACATCAGGGTTCAACTGTACAATGCTTAATGGAAACCCTATCTTCTGAGCATACTAATACTGACACCAATACCACCTTCTCCCAGGATGAAACAGGGTAATAATGAGGCACCAGACAGTACCAGTTTATCAAGGTCAAAATAAAAAAATAGAGCAAGTATGTATACTCTGTATGTACATGTATGTAGGATGCAACGCTGAGGATGATTAAAATGATTTCCACAGAGTATACCGAAAGGAAAGGTAACAGAAGAGAAAAATACGCCAGATACTTCACTACAAAAACTGTCCCCTTAAGCATTGCACTTTCAAAGTGTCAGCTAAGCAACTGTCAGTTGGCAACCTAGACAACAGTTAGACAGTTTCTTAAATCCAGCTGATTTGTGACAAGACCACAGAAGTATTTTTGGGCAAATAAGCAGCTGAAATAACCCCAATATCATTAATTATTTTCATCAGCCCTGCTCTAATGAAACAGCGAGATCTTTTCTTACCTCTAGTGCTCTGTTTATAAGGACACGATCATATTTTTTGACTGCATGTAAAGCATGGGTGTCCATGTTACAATTGATGCAAGTAAAAATATCCCAGTCTTCTACTCTGGTCTCTCTAACAAGGCTTGGCACTTCCTAAATTGAAACAGAAAAAGAAGATTTCTTTTTAAAAGGTATTGTTCAATATTGTACGATGTTGAAAACTATGATACGAAATATTACGAAAAAAAAATAACATAAGCTTAAAACTCCTGCAGAAGTCGAAACCCTGCTGCTATTTTGAGCTTCATTTTAAAAATCCCCCCTCCTGGCTATTTTTATAATGAGCTATTTGAACAAGAACAAGGCGATAACACCGAAAAGGAAATCCACAGAGGTTTTTCGAAGCTTTATTGACGTACGTTCACGTACATTGTCAGCAATTGTCTTGTAGAATTTCCTGCTTGTGATACAAGACACTTGTGCCGTAAATCTGATGCAATAATCCTTTCAAGTCACAAGGTAGACTTCCTTGCAAGGATTATCAAGGAAACAAAGCCTAGTACTGCTAGTAAAGCAAAATAACAGATCGAAAATCTTGATATTTTTCACATCTAGAGAGACGTACTGAAGCTGTGAAAAGCCAAAAGCGCGCCAAACCTTCGCGGTTTTGTCAACAATAATTTTTTGAGATAGCTCCAAAATGTTTTCTGGTTACAAACTATCAAGGGAATACTTACCTTTGTTATTCCACCAATTGCCAGTTCAACTTCATAAAGTCCCTGATCAAAGAAAGCTGCCGTACAAGTCTCTGCCACAAACGCTTTTCCATCCGCTTCGCGAGTCGCCTTCTCCTTCACATGTACAGTGAGATTTAAACACTTACATCTAAACTTACTCATTGCAATAAACATTTAAGACAACAGTAACCTTCTTTCCTAAAGTAACTGTTGTTATTTCGGGCTAAAAAAACACAGAAATTGCACTGCAACAACCTATATGTCCCGCCGATAACAAATTTTTTTTTATTGAGACGAACCCGTGACAGCAGTCCCGTGACAAAGTCTCGTGACTTGTGGTACCAGACCATTTGGTGAAAATCCACCAATCAGAAGGCGCCTCTCTTGACATGAACCTATGACATTAGATTCCTATATCAGCTGATTGCCAGACTGTAAACTATTTGCCCAAGGGGAATTAAACTTTGCTCGATTATCATTTCCCCTTCCCTCCCAATAGAAGATCGACAAATGTTTATTTCTGCAGGGACAGGGAATTAAAGCCTTGTTCCAAACTTTTGATAACTTCAG